TTTTTTTTTTTTTTTCTTTTCCTGTAAAGGATTTGATTTATTCTGACAGAGGTTTCAAATCTTCTTCATGGGCTCAATGACATTTATACTTGGCAGTACCATAATATCTCTTTTCTCTCTCAATTCAGTTACTTTCTCTTTTTCATTATATCTTTCTTTAGCAGTTTACCTCTGAGATGGTTCAAGTAAGAAGTGTTGGGAGGGGCTACCTGTAAACTGATCACAAGGTACTTTGCTCTCTTTAGATACACTGACTCTTATAACCCTTGGTGATTCCTGATGACTGAAGCTGGGGAAATCGAAGTTCCTTCCTAGGAATAGGCAACAGTGTGACCCCTTGGTGGCATCCAGCAAGCCAGGGCTAATTGACTACTGTTAAAGTAAAAGCCACTTAGTTCTATGCTTAATGCAAAAAATCCATAAAAACTGACATCAATTATAGCAAAAGTCAGCTGTCTGGGTGATTATGGTCTAAAAGGGAATCCATACACTTTCACAGGATGGGGTATAAAGAAGGTGGCTGGAACAAAAGGTTAAATGGTAATCCATGGGAATCCACTGCACAGCTCCATTAAGTTATTTCTATGTATTTAGAAATGATGGAGCAAAAAGGGGCAGGCAAGCTGACTCCACTTTGTTTGGCCAAACTGTAGACGAATATTTAGCATCTCTCTAGACATGATACCTGGGGCATGGAGGAGTGGCCAAAGATACTAGGAAGAACATTCGACAAAGAGGGGTCCCTAGTAAAACTCCAACGAGGGGTTTTCAAACCTATTGAATTAGAAAACAAAATCCTTCATCCACAATGATTAGCATCTTCTCTCATTGATGTGTTTTTCTTGTAGGTGAAAAACTTCCCATTTATATATTTAAGAAAGCCATTGGCATCAAGTCTATTCAGACTCAAAGCAACCCTACAGGGTGTGGTAGGTGTGGCACATATCCTGAGCACCATTTGGTGGGGGGCACCAATGAACCGTTTCTATTCACCATCACAGATTCCGTTGCCAACTGAGAAAGACCACTTAGCAATTTAAAATGAATTACCACAGGTGCTATTTTCCATGGATATGCTGTGTCTATAAGACAGTTTGCAATAATCTTCGCAGAAGATAACCTGGTGGTGCAGTGGCTAAGCACTCACCTAGCAACCCAAAGGTTGGCGGTTTTGAACCCCTGTGTCAGTCTGCTTCTGTAAAGATTGACAACCTTGGAAATCCTAAAGGGAAGTTCTGTCTCATGAGTCAGAAAAGACTCGATGGCAGTGGGTTTGGTTTGGAAGCTTTATGGAAGCAGACTGCCACAGCTTTCTCTTAAGGAGCAGCCACTGAATTTGAACTACAGATCTTTCAGTTAGCAGCCGAGCACCTAAAACTGTGCGACCAGTGCTCCTTATTTCATATATTTGTTGTTGTTGTTATATGCCATCGAGTTGGACCCGACTCATAACGACCCCTCCGCTTGGGTTTCCGAGGCGGTATCACTACAGAAGTACATTGCCCAATCTTCCTTCCCAGGAGTGGCTGGTGGGTTTGAACTGCCAGCTTTCTGGTTAGCAGTCAAGTGCCTTAGGCACTATGCTGCCAGAGCTCCCTATTTCATATATAAGCACCTGAAAAAGTGTTTTATTTATATCAGAAGAGTAAATCCCCATGGCACTGTGGCTTCTATCACCAGCAGAAGAGAAGTCAAGGCCACATACAGCATTTGCACAAGAATCCCAGTATTAAGATTAATGAAGGTTCAACTTTACCTTATGAAAGTTTTGCTCAAATTTTTATTAGGAACTTCCTGAGGTACATCTCACTTTATAGCCATTGTTTTGTCTATCCCCTGTTTACTACATAAAAAGCTACACTGGCCTCCTTTTCAAGAGTTTATGGGATATTTGATGCCTGCTTTGGTGTCTAGAATTCAGATTTACTGTCATTGTCACGTGTTTTGGTACCAAATTAAATGACTTGATGACATCTGTGAATCAATTGTTCTGTTCATGAACATGTTTCTAAGGTGAGGGTGTCGAAATCCCTTAGTAAACAGACTAAGGGAAATCATGATTGTACACCTCAGCTAAGTTGTTCTGGCATAAGATCAAGTTAGCTGGAATGAGATCTCTGCAGGGTGGTCTCACTGGGTATATTCAGCTAACAATTGAATGACTCAGCTAGTTCTTAATGTATGAAAGTTAAGGAAATTTAATTAATTTTGACTTGATCAAGATAAGGAGCTTTGGTGATGTAGTGTGTAAGGCATGTGACTGCTAACCAGAAGGCTGGCAGTTCAAACCCACCAGCCACTCCTCAGAAGGAAGACTAGGCAATCTACTTCCATAGTGATACTGCCTCGGAAACCCAAGGAGAAGTCGCTATGAGTCGGGTCCGACTTGACGGCAGTGAGTTTGGTTTGGGTTTTTTTGTGATCAGGATAGGCATACTTTTAAAAAACATGGAATGTGGTGAGGGAAAGCATGGGGATGGTAATTCTAAAGGACTGCAAGTCAGGAAGTACTAATCTTGTGCAAATCTGTACAATCCCATGTCTGCAATGGAACTGGCTCCTGTCCTCGGCTTTGCCCTGGCAATAAAAGGTGCCACTGTGGCTCACACCCTAGTCCTTGTTTCCACTGTTTCTTTGTGAAATACAGAGAAAGCATCCCTTGTAAAGGAAGGACAAGCAGCATCTAATGATTTGGAGGGGAAAATATCTACAAAAGTTAAATTAACACTAGAGGATGAATGTCAGATATTTTATTTGCCAGGCTGACAGAGACAGAAAGCGGCCTGGATACCAATCCAATCCCAAAGCATAGGAATAAACTGGGAAAATAATTTGTCTCTGTAATGTTTTCCTTCTCTCTCCAAACCAAGACAGTCAAGAAAATCCATCCATTGAAAGTTTAACACCTGAATTTCTGAGAACACCTTAGCCAGACATGGGGAGTACTGAGTAGAAGGGGATCAGGGGGTAGCTCTGACTAAACATTTTCTGTGGCTGAGCCGAAAAGCTAACAAGCTCATGGAGAATTAGAAGGTAATTGCATGAACCAAATAATCATCTTCTGACCCATAATTTGGGTAACTGTGGGTGTGTATGAAACACTGGCAATATAAACCTGTACACAGGCTCAATGTGCCTATAGGATGACTATCTGTAAGTAACTTTCAATGTGATCCTTATTAGACAACTTAACCACCCCACAAAAAAAAAGAAAAGAAAATTCTTTTCCTATATAAGCCTTTTCTCATATAAATGTTAACCTTTAAAGATCTCCCAGGTTCTAGCATAATATGAAAAAGGAAAATGAGCTTCTTTGAACAAAAGTTTTTATCATTTCATTGCCATTCAAAAGCCAGGTGATTAGGAGGCCCATGTCTTCCTTCCATTCCCCATCCCCACCTGCCCTACTCCAAAGCGAATACAGTTCTTAAAATAAATTATCAAGCTCAAAAGACTGTGGCGCTTCACACTCATTTGATTTTCCCTGACTCGACTAAATCAAAAAATTTAATTTCAAGAACACCTGTAAGCCCAGCAGAACTGCTGAGTTTAATTATCATACTGGGCTTCTTTAAAGACATTGCCTATTGTTTTTTTCCCCATATTCTTTTTTTTTTTTTTTTTGAAGGAATTGATTGTGTTCCTGAAGCATTATTCTTTATGCTTGGAAAAAAAGGCATTTTGTATGACAAAAGGACAACCCTTACTCACTCACCTAGAGGAGGTCCATGTGTCATGAGTATGTCGATGCCCTCAGGGATGAGGTTCCACTTGTCCAGCAGAGACTGACCTCTGGGTAGGTTAAAGCCCCATCCATTAAACCACGGGGTCCTTTGGGGGAGACAATGCACACGGTATCAGGCCTGCACAGCCATATATTTCTCCAATATTTCCCACTCACACATTCCCCCATAGTTCACGGTGTTCTTTTTTCTCTTTTTGATGGTTGGCCCTGGCAGCAGGATGCTTTTTGTGTTGACTTCTTCCAAACCAATCCATTTGAAAGCATGGAGGCTATGAACTATTCAACTCAAAAGGACACAGGAGCCCTTATAGAGGAGACTTTTCCAGTAGATCTCTATCAAAACTTTGACATTGCTTTGTCTTCCCTCATATCTTAGTGCTTCCTAAGATGCCCAGCCCAGATCCAAAGCATTTCTATTCTTCTAAAAATGCTTCAGAGATAAGAGATTCCATCCATACTCCTTTCTTCTGTCCATCACTGTGGAATCTCCTCACCAGAGTCTTATTAAAGTTCCTGGAGAAAAAGGACAAATGCGCTAAAGGCAGAATGAGATGTTTTGAATGGCTTGGTCTGGGAATTCTGAATAATAGTATGGGACTTTGAAAAGTGAGAAGGGGCACAGTGAACTCCAAGCAAATGTGGAATTTTCCACCAAAGGAATTTTGGGGACACCCTCGTCACTCAGAAATCCACCCTGATAGTAGATGTGAACATTGCACCATCACAAGAACTTGAGGAACTCCTGAAATTGAAGTCTTATATAGAAGTCAAAGGGGTCTTTGTCCATCTGATGAACATTTTTGAGTGGAGCTAAAAATCTCTACCATTTATAGTAATGAGAGATTAATTTTTCTCTACAAGTACTGTGGATTGCATCATGTCAGAACAAAGCAGTTCCCAGTGTTGTCCTATTCCCAAGCATACAGATCTAACCATTATTTTTTCAAACCGATTCTTTTTTGTTCTGTAGGAAAATTCCAATTTGCTAGGGAATACGTGAAAGAGACAAATTTGTCGATTTTCTTGCTAAGCCCAATTTTCACCTTCAGCTTAATCTACCCTGTCTATGCCTACTGAAAGAAGTAACTGCATGTTCAAGGTGACCCCAACCTTACCAGTCACAGCTAATCAGACAGGGTTGACCACTTATTTGAAGCCAGTCATTGGCTGGACTAATTTGATTTCTCAAGATCTAAACTCAGAAACACTGACACAGCATCCATTAGAAGTGAGTATGTACAGTCAAGGCCATGGTTGTATGGCAATGGCAATTCAAAGCCATGTGAAAATCTGTTACAGGTGAGAACTTTAGTTCCCACAGAGGTAGCTGAGAGAAATATAGTTTCATATATGAGACTCTGTGATCTTAGCTGGAAGAAGAGAAACTAAGAGAGTAACTGACTTGGTTCCTAATAATTTTCTATATCCCAGGTCATTCTCAAGGAGTTCACTTGCAATGGCAACAACAACAATACAACAATAATAATTATTATAGTTATCAATTACTGAGTGCCTATCTGTGCTAGGGACTAAACTCATTTGTATTAATTTCCATTGTTTATTTTTTTGTATCATGAACTTTAACACATTGAACACATTAAACCTAGTAAGGCTGACTTCATCTCTGCTCTAGGATGAGGCAACAACTGCATCTCCCTGAACAGTGATTGGTTTAGGACTATGTCTATGAACTAAGCTGGGCCAGTGACAGTCGTGCTCAGGATTTTACTAGTGTTACCTACAAAGGGGAGGGCTCTGGTGGCGTAGTGCCTAAGGCATCTGACTGCCAACCAGAAGGCTAGCGGTTCAAACCCACCAGCCACTCCTTGGAAGGAAGGTTGGGTAATCTACTTCTGTAGTGATATTGCCTTGGAAACCCAAGGAAGGGTTGCTATGAATTGGATCCGACTTGATGGCAGTGGGTTTGGTTTGGTTTACCTACAAAGCGGCCATATTTTCCTCTCTGGGATCTTGAGTCTTGGGAATTATGTAAGCCTGAAATTGCCTCAGGAATTTATCTTAGCCATCATGCAGAGTCTCAGCTTGAGAATCAAATCACCACAAAGAAAGATAACAGAGTGTGTCCTTGTGATATAAGTAGACATCTGGATCCACCAGTGCTTAAAGCCAACTCACACTCTTCCTTCCAAGCATATGAACCAATGAAACCCATTTTCTCTTAATAGTTAGGTCCTGTTACTTGCAGATGAAGAATCCTGATATATACTTATGCTTATATTCAATGTATAAATGACCACCTGCCTGTAGAATAATAGTCTATGTCCCAATGCCTGGAAAACTGTGAATATGTTACCTGACATGGTAAAGAGAAAGTAAGGCTACAGATGAAATTAAGATCGCCCATTAACTGACTTTAAAATAAGGAGGCTCTTCTGGATTATCTGGGTGGGTCCAATGCATTCATGAGGGTCAGTAAAGTAGAAGAGGGAGGCAGAAGAGATCGGAGTGATGCAACATGAGAAAGACTCAACACGTTGTTTGCTGGCTGTGAAGATGGAGGAAGGGGACCATGAGCCAAGAAAATTGAAAGCCTTTAGAAGCTAGAAGAGGCAAGGAAACAGATTCTCCCCTAGAACTTCCAGAAAGGAACACAGCCCTGCAAACACCTTATTTTAGCCCTTTGAGACCTATGTTAGATTTCTGAACCCCGGAACTATAAGATGATAAGTCTGTATTGTTTTAAACCACTCAATGTGTGATAATTTCACATAGAAGCAATAGAAAACTAATACAGCACTTAAAAATGTCTAATCATCTAGCTATGAACACAGGGACTGTGGCATATATGAGGAGCTCTTCTGACAGCACTGTGGTTAAAGCACAGGCCTGCTACTCAAGAGGGGTTTCAAATTCACCAGCCGCTCACTGGGAGAAAGATGAGGCAGTCTGCTTCCATAAAGATTTAAAAACAAAAAACAAAAAAAATCTACTGCCATAGAGTCAATTATGACTCACAGTAACCCCTGTAGGGTTTCCAAGGTTATCAATCCTTATGGAAGCAGACTGGCCTCACCTTTCTCCCATGGAGTAGCTGGGGGGTTCAAACTCTAACTTTTGGTTAGCAGCCCAGTGCCTTAACACAGTGCCACCAGAGCTCCCTTCAGTAATGTTTACAGCCGGGGAAACCTTATGGGATAGTTCTACTCTGCCCTATAAGGTTGATATGAGTCAGAATTGACTTGATGGCAGTGAGTTTGCGTTTCATGGCATATATGCAATCAACACAGCCTTTCCACAGCCACACTGTGTTGCTTAGCCAGATGTAACACTTTGGTTTCTTTTGAGGAGAAGCCAATACTCACTTTTTTTTTTTTTTTAATCTTAGTTCACTGCGGAAGCATCAGGTACCGTGGGCCTAAGCATGTATGCCAGGTAGATCCTTTTAGAGCTCAATCAGTCTGTCTCACTCTTTCTTGTCTTCTAGGACTCCCTCCCTCCAGGTTCTTAAATATTTTCATTAGAGGTTACAATTGTGCTTTTCTGATCAGGGATACCCATATTTTCCTTTCATTTTACAATGGCCCTCTTCCAAGATTTGTCTTAAAAGTAAATAGGGAAAAAAAATCAGCAAGTGCAGAACCCAATGAAAACTCAGCATTTTGCCAAGGAAGAAAGAAAAATAAGCAAAAACATCTGTTTTCCTAGATTTTGAAAACAAGCTTCTGGGCCTATGGTTCCTGACTGGATGGCAAAATAAAGAAGGGTTTGAAAGAGTCCCAAGCACACCAAAGAGATTGGTTCAATGAGCAGCTCTCTGATTTCTGTCACTCACAGACTGTCTGAGGGCAGCCAGCCTCTGGACCCCCTGGACATCCCAGGGGGGCTCCAGAGTCAAAGGAACGAGAGTTAAGTTTTTTACTTTTTCCAGTTTTCTCTCATAATTTTTTTTTTCTTGGAAACTCACAGCACTATTTCCCTCAAGGAAATGCTTAGTTTTCTAAGTGCTCTGTAAAAGATTAAGACAAAAATCATGGTCTATAGATACCCAAAATCCCATTTAGTTAATGTTAATCTTGTGACAAAATCTAGAACTCTCCAAGTTAAGGGTAAAGTTTAAAAATGTCTGGCTTTTATTTGGACCCAAACCTGTATATGTGTGAGAGAGGAAGAGAGAGAAAGGTCAAAAGACAGGAGAGGGAACACTTACCAACTGTCTACAGCACTTTACGTAGGTGTTTCACATAGATTATTAAATTTAAAATTCTCAAGACAACCTTCTAATTTTAGATAAAAATTTGCTATCACTGAAGGTCAGTGATATCAAGTAACTTGTCCAAGTTCCCAGGACTAGTATGTAGTGGAGCCAAGATTTGAACTCAGATCTGCTGGCTCCAAAGCCTGTGTTCTTTCCTTGTGCAATGCCGAACTAAAACATTCTAGCCTGATTTCTGTTTTGGCTCTCACACGCGTAAAGCAAAAGTAGGGCTGCTCCCTAGAGTCTTTCAGGCTGTGCACTTTGCAACTCTGGCCAGGGGTGGGGGCACACAGTGTCATGGAATAGTGAGGTGAGGAAGACCCTAGTAAAATCAATGTTGCTTCAACACTCGCTCTGGCCTTTCTGGGGCATTTGCCATTCCTCTGGAACCTCCAGGTAGTCTTTCCCAGGCAATGGGAAAAGCAGTCCTGTGACAGGTTCTGGAATTATCCCAGCCCGGCATAATAAATGGGGCATAGAGAAGTTAACATTTGTGTGCTAATTCTCATTCTGGCATCAATTCATTAACTCACTTAGATGTTAGATAAGAGAAGGACAATCTCTGGGCCAGTTTCCTCATCTGTGAAATGAAGGAGTGGGTGGGCTCCATTACGGGATTCCAAGCTTACATTTAAGTTATAGAAATCTTATGCAGAAGCCCAATACGCAAAGCAGGTAAAACTGTTGGGGGATGGGAAGAACGGACTTAGAGCCCCTCTTCGCTGTGCATTCCCCATGCCTTTGAGCAAAGCTGGCAAAACCTGGCACTCGATCGCTGGTTGAGTGGTAAAAATTCTGACATTTCCTAATTCTGAGCAGAACATCAATGCTTTGAGTCAGTGCTGGGAATTGCTCTCAGTGAATTGCCTA